AGGGTCTGATGGTAATACACTAGACTTCGGAGGCCACAATTAGACATTCATCAGAGCACTTAAGGCAGCCACAGACAACGAGATTACCAAAGAAACGATGCTGGTTCCTTTCTAATGAAACTTCATGCACAGATATTAAAATTTGAATTTCAGGCTCTTTTTCCCCATAGCACCAACTATTTTTCTTCTGGTTTTTCTCAACCATTGAAAAATATATCAGCTGTTTCCCAGACTGGACCATCAGGTAGGTGGTCGCTAGCCTGCTCCCTGGATGGAGCACTGAGCAGATACAGCCATGGCTGACACCACAGCCAGAGTCCAGAGCTGGATGAGTGTCTTCCTCCCAGGAGGCTGTTGCCTTGTCCTTTGTCACAGATTGCACCTATGTCTCCTCCATAACACCAGGTACATGTACGGGGACGCAGGACAGAACACATCGGAGACTTCCTGCAAAATCACTCCTCCTACAGGTGGCCCATGCGGTCACCTTGCACCGTCCTCCAAACCATCAGCTGCAAACACCAAAGAAGGCGGGGACATGCAACAGCACCTGCGGGGGCCCTGGGAAGTCTTCCCCACTGCGCATGGTACAGGTTCTGCATGCGAAATCTAAAGTCTAGACCCTGCATAGTCTTCACAGGCAACGAAAAACTTTACTCAAACAAAAGCATTTGTCTTTCAATCTGGCTGCGTTTCCTCCATACTGCAGAACTGTTGTCATCATCAACATAATGCTGACTAATGGACTCGGGATGGCCTCCTGCTCTTTCTGAATGAAGTGGCATTAAGGAAAAGAGAGAGGCTTATGGTTAATAAAGAGCTGTGGAAGTTAAAGGGTTTCATCTGCTAATATAGGGCATCATTTCCCAACGGGGATTATGATGAATACTGACTCTTAGATGTCCTGCTAAAAAAGCATTTCAAGGTCATTTAAGTTTAGGAAATGTGACATAAAAACATCCCTTCTTTTTTGATGAGTCTTAATGCACAGTAAAACTGCTGAACTGGGTTAAATCAAATACTTGTCAAACTTACATGATTAGGGACGCTTTAGGCTTTTCACTTCACTGCTACTAACTTCCCCCAAACCAACAACCCACAGACAGGGTTCTGGGAATCCTCCTGAGGCCAACAGAGAGAAGTGGACAGCTTTCAAGCAGGGCAGTAAATTACGTTTTAGAGCCAGTTCTTTGTAAGGATCAGACCTTTCTTCTCCGGTTCTTGTCGGTTTAGGGCATTACAATATAGTCCATCTATCGGCTCCAGCCAGAAAAGCAGGAGCTACATCTGTTGTGACGAAAGCCTTTCCAAAATAGTATACAAGGCAAGTGTGGTTTAAAAGATATATGGTACAGACTTCTGTCCAAAAGGCAAAAATGCCCTCCTTGCTATGACACCCCATGCCAGCAGTGACACACTAGCCATAAGGGGCTGGCAAGTGCTGTCCCTAGCTGTTTTCATGTACCATCCAACCATCCCAAGTCACACGCACGCTAACCAGTTGTCTGGCTAATCACCATCCAGCACCCTGCTAAGGGACTCATGCTTTGTTCTGGCTCACTCACCTCCCAGGTCCCAGCCATCTCTCTGCTGCATCAATTCAACTGTCAAAGACTGCATGCCTCTCCCATCTTCCTGGGCCTTAGGGCCCTAGCCTGTACCACATCCTACTTGGGCTTCCCCTAGCCAGTCCTTTATCCCTCCCCATCCATTCTCCTTATCCCCAGCATAAAGAGGGCCCCCAAATACACACAAAGACAGTCTACGGCTTAAAAACCTTCAAAGGTGCCCACCACTGAAAGACAACGCAACCTTCACCCAGGCCTGTGAGGTCATGCACGAGCAGCGTCCAGCTTCTGCCGCACGGCTCTGCCTTCTGTCCCTTGGACGTGGTTCTCTGCCTCATGCTATTCCTGCCTCCCAGTCTCTCTGTTTCTCTCCCTCTCCACCCATGTCTCTATCTCATCAACTTCACATCCATGCTTCTCTCACATGTCTTTCTTGAGCCCTTGCCAGAGCACCTAGTCACCAGGGACTGCACAGACTCCATTCTCCATACTACTTCCCACAGTTTCTTCCTGTGTCTGTTTTATGAAGTTCCAGGAGGATAGGGAGCACATTTATTTGCTTATAACTTAAAGGTGGGAACATTATAGTTGGGAACGGGCTTAATAATTGTTGGTCATGTGAATGAAACAAAACGGTGGGAAGTTCTCTTACAATTTCATCTTTTGCTTTTCAAAATTTGCTTCTTTTTAAATGTAAGAGGTCAAGAAACACAGAGAAGGAGCACCTATATTTTCTGATTCACTCCCCAAATGCATACATACAGCAGGCTAAGGTGGATGGGGACCTAAGTCAGAAGCTGGGATCTCAGGCCGGGTCTCCCACACAGGTGTCAGGAACCCGATCACTAATCACCACTGCCTCCCGCGGTCTACACTAGTCGGTAGCTGGAGTCTTGATACTGCAGGGAATTAATGCCTTTTACTCCTTCTCCTCCTCAAGGCTTAGCAGGGTGATGACTGGGGCGCTGGGACAAAGGCAGGTTCTGATGTCAAAGAGAAATGGTCAAGGAAGACACGTGGGGGACTGGGGACTCCTGCAGGTTTCTTGAGCTCCTCTTTGGCCAGCACCAGAGGACAGAACGTGAAGACAAGTTAGTAAGGGATGAGGTATACTTTACTGATTTGGTATGTCCTGGAGTATTGAAAAGGTCAACTTGGTCAAGATATTGAACATATGCATTTTAAACATTAAGGAAAGCCCAGGTTACTTCGCCCCAGAAACTGAGTCAAACATGGACTCAGTTGCTCATTGTTCAATGTTTGGATGACTCAGACTCAATTCAGAAAGTGTCTTTGGGATCCAAGAATTTCTGTATTTCCAGGTGCAAATTCCACACCTGTCTAAATAATAACGTGCGGGACCTTGAAAAAGTTCATGGAAAATTCATATCATGGAAAAACCACAAGAATTTAAAAACTCTGTAAGTTTAATGCTATTCTAATACGAATCTTTTGAAGTACTGTTCTATTTTAAGAAGTATGTCAAATCCTATATGCCTTAGGTGCTTGTCTCATTTTTCGCAAAAATAAGCATTATAAATGTTCTATGACCTTTACAATGTGCTTAGCCAAATTTCTGCAAGCACCTTCAGAAAGAATGGAGTAGAAAGGTTAAATCTGCAACAACACCACCTTTATGAGCACAGAATTACTCAGGGCCAGCAGACACTTACACTTACTATCTCATTGTAACGGGAGGAGATAAACGCTCCCACCTTTAAGATAAAGGAGAAGCTGTGACCAGTTTGTTGTCTATATTTTGTCAGTGGAGAAAGTCTGAGACACAGAGACGCTTCCGTGACAATTCCAGGGACGCATGTGTGAGCAGCTGTGTAAGCCCACTGAGGAGCTCACCTCAAACCAGAGAGACAGCTACATGACAATGCTGCCATTCGGCGTGTTCCAGGCCAGAGCTGTCGCCTCGGTGGCAGACCACCATTTGCAGGGGGGTTTCTTGTTGAAAACGACCCAGAGGGCAGCAGCAATGACTGCAGACCAAGAATTCACAGACCAGGGCTCTGGGGGGCCAGCAACTGGCGTCTCCATGAAGCTAGCCTTGCCTGGGCTCATGGACACCCAACGAGATAGGAGCAGTGCATGGAGGAGACGATGGACTCCAGCAGGTATGGGTGCAATTCCACCTGTTAACATGCACCTGTTTGTGTTCCTACTTAACAGCTCTTCTCCAAAGCCGCGGTTAACTCAGAATGCGTGTCTGAGAACCAAGAACTGTTCTCACAGGATCCCATGCTGTTCTGCTGGGCGCACTGGCAGGCACAGGCACGCTGGCCGTCACCTGCAGGGCCCTCTGAGGAGGGTACACCCGTGAATTTGACAGTGTTCACTAATGCAAGGGTGTTAGCACGGAAACAGGACTGAGGGGCACTCGAAGGAAAGGTACTCGAGGGTGCATCTTCCGGGGAAACGTAATCAAGACAACTCTATCCTTTCCACACCCCAAAGTGATACCCAAAGTCGGCCTGTTTCATATATCGCCACCCCTTCAAAGAAACTTCTCCAACCGAATGTTAGATTTTTCTCTTCCTTAGGCAAAGTGTATCCTTTTCATTCATTTCCTTAATATCTACACAGATTTAGCAACTCGTGAACTCGGTGCTTTCCATCTATTTTACAACCCAGTGTCAAAGACCCAAGGAAGGCTTGTTAATAAAGCAGGAGACAGAAGGCTATAATGACTGGGATCCCGGAAATGCCAGGGAAGAAATGTGTGTGAGTGTGTGTGTGTATGTGGGGTGGGGGTGGGGGGGTCCTCACGGCCATCTTTAGAAATCTGACACAAACAGTCGTAAAGGCCAGGTTGACTGAACCTCCCACCTCGGTTCCGCAGTTCGGCCCCCTCCCCTCTTCAGACTAGCCTATGCCCTCAAACACATCTCTAACTTCCACACACACAAGACAGAAGAGCAGTTCTCACACTCGCGCCTGCCCAGCGCGTCCCTCTCCTCCCCATACAGCCTGCTGCCAGCCTGGGACCACCATCCACTTGAGTTTCCGAGTCTACTCTCCGTTCCCAACCTGCCCTCGCTTCTAGCACAATGGGGCACCCTACATGCTCCACCCAGCCTTCTGTAAACCCGGGGATAACCTTGCCCGCCGAGACTCACGCCATCGAGGAAAACGCACTCCTATTCTATCACCTCTCCCTGCCCTCAGCCCACAGGCGAAGGTGTGGGCGGCTGCCAGGGGGGACGCGTGCCTGGGGTTTCTAGGATAAGGTTGCGCACACGCATTGTTTTTTTCATCCACTGTAATCGCCCCGCCGCGAGCCACAGGCGTGGGATCATAAGCAGTTCTTTCCCCCCGGCTCCTGCTCCCCTTAGCGGCTCCAGGCACCTGCGGCTGGCCCCTCCCCGCCCCAGGCCGCAAACTTCCAAGGCGAGCTCACTCGGCCGGGGCTACCCTGCGGTTCGTGAAGCGCCGTGAGACGCGAGCCGCGGGGTCGGGACGCACGCAGCCTCGGGTGGGGCCGGGGGGCGTACAGGACGTAGTCCAGGTTCCGGGTGGCTCGGCGCGGCCCGGCTCTGCCCCCACGTGGCCCGGCAACCTGCGCGCGCTCTCCAGGTAGAACCCCAGGGGTCCACGAGGCTGTGGTGGGGACCCCCCAGTCACCGCGCCACGCACCCCGCCACGCCACCCGAGCAGGGCCCTTCCGGGTGCCGCCGTCTCCTCCAGGCGGCGTGCCCCACCGGGGCTGGCTGGGCCGACGGCCGCGCGCGCGCCTCAGGGGCCCCGGGGGGCGCGGCCGCGGATGGTCTCTGAGGCCCGGGCGAGGCCGCCACCGCTCCAAGCCTCACGGTCACCCTGACCAGATACACCCCTCAGGCGCCCCGGCCCGAGTCCCCTTCCCCCCCGCTGGGCGATGCCCGAGCCGGCTTCGCCTTCGGAGCGCGCGTGGGCTCGGCGCGCGGCGAGGCGGCGGCTCTCCAAGAGTACCTGCGTGAGGCTCCGGTTCCGAGTGCAGGGGATGCGGTTCACCTCGGGGGGCCGGAGGTCGGCTTCTTCTCCGTGGCTTGCGTGTAGCGCTGCCGCCTCCAGACAGCCGCTTTGCTCGTCGCGCTCCCGAACGTGACACTATATATCCGGCTCGCAGCCTGGGTGTGGGGCGGGAGGAACGCACCCTCCCTCCGACCTTCCCCGCCGCCGCCGGGCGCCGAGCCTGCGGCAGCCTCCGCCCGGGCGGAAGGAGGGCGAAGAGTCGGGGGGCTCCCCGCTTGCAGGCCGCTGGGCGACGGCCTCGAGGGCAGGGCGGCCGCGCGCGCCGAGCCCGTTCCGGGTTCCCATTCATGCAGCCGCGCGCCGAGCCCCCGCTTCCCCGACTAGATGTGCGCGCGCGTGGGGGCGGACGGGCGCTTCTCTCTGGCCTGGTCTGGAAAAAGAAGAGCCCACACCTGTCCTGGGTTGAACAGCCGGTGGGAGGCAGAGGGGCTTGCACCTTCCCCCACCCTCAACTCCTTAGCGGAAAAGGCAGCCCCCAAGCCTTGGTTTTCCCGACCGCTTTACATTGTCCACACTGCACACCCCAATTGCCCTTGATTGTCCCAGGCGCTGCGCAGGGGTCCTGCAAGCCCTTTCGGGGCAGCCAGTTGTCAGTGACCCTGGCTGGGGGGGGGGGGGCTCCTCTGGAAGCACAGTTTGCTGGACCTGGGGCTCTGCCTGCCGCCGGTGGGAAAAGCAAATGTGTGTGAGCGTGTGGGAGGCAGGAGAGGGTAGGTTTTGGGATGAAGGCAGCAGGAATGGGATGGGCCTCGCTTCTCTGGATTTTTCTAAAGGCGTTTCCTTGCCTAGCCTTGTAGCTTTTTTTTTCAGATGTGGTAGTGGTGGTGGCGGGGGGAGGGGGGAGGAAGCGGGATTGTTAAAATTTTAAACCGTAAAAGCTGGAGCAGGTCCTGTAGACCAGTGGAGAGATGGACAGGCAGTCCTGGCCCCCCATCCCCGGAGTGCTGGAGACTGGCCAGCGCCCGCCCTGGTTCTCCTGTTAGCAGTGCAAGGCACAGTACATTAGGAAACACCAAAAGGGTGCCCTCCACTGTCTTCATTCTCATCTGTTCAGCAGTCTACCTGCTGTTGAGGAATAGGATCCAGCCCGTTGCAAGTTGGTGCTAGTGAAAGAACCTACGTCAGGCTTTTAAACAAGAATCGCACCTGTGTAGGATTCTCTTCCCATGCCAGTTGGGAGGCAGAGTGGACCCTAAAACACTGTAGTCAATTGGCTCTAGGGACTGCCTGAAAGCCTAGAGAACAAACTGGAAACAAATGCAAACTCCTCCACCGGCTTCCCCAGGGCAGAACATGGAAGGTGAGCTCCAAATGCCTATGGCAGACCTTGACAGGATCCTGCCAGATGCTGGTGAGCGGTGTGGAAATCATCCCTCCATTTTACTCCAGCTCCTGGGAAAGCAGGAGCCTCATGTTCCCAAGGCACGAAACAGAATTTGTTATTGTTCTAGATCTTTCAAGAATGTATTCCCATTTCTTAGCACGTCTCCAAAGGCAATAAAGTAAGACCCTGCGGAAAGTAAACCCCAGAGGCACAGAGTTGTATATTGATTGTCATTATTTATAAAGTTAAAAAAAAAAAGCACAAACATTCAATGCAATGCTCATTCATTAAAATAGAGCATTGCTGTTGATGCCAAGACCATAATTGTTAGATAATGTCCACCGACCGACCGCCCGCTTGGTGAAATAATATCGGCAAGTTGTTCAGAGTTGAGATGGAAGCTTTATTGGAAAAATCCGCTCCTGAGCCACCTTCGCGCAGAGAGGAAGGAAGAGGGAAGCGAAAGGGCCTCTCAGACACGTGTCTGGGAGTTTTATACCCATCTACACACGTGGGAGGGCAAGGGGGTTGTCCGTGTCCCAACTATGCAAGGAATGTCCATTCAGGTGTGCCATTGGTCAACTGGAATCCCGCCAGGTAGGTGACGTAACCGGCTCCTGTGGCCCCTCCTCCTGTGGGGGCGGGGCAGACCTGCCCCTAGCCTCCAGTGCCCTGGGGAGCCATCATTCCGGACTCTTGGTAATAGGAAAGGGGGCGACGAAGTCGTTCTGGCTACTTCCTGCTGAAGGGGGGGGCGTAGTCCCTAATTGTGGTCCGGAGAGGGCTCTGTGGGCACTGGGACATAGGGGTGGAGCAGCAGTTGGTTGAGAGTGACCCGTGAGGCTTCTTGGATTTTTTCTTTGGCAAACCAGATTCGTTAATATAATAACAACACTGTTCCTGTAGGAAGACACAGGTTCCCCCTTTGCTTGCAGTCAGCAGGTCCAGGGCTCGTCGATTCTGGAGTGCCACTTCAGCTAGCGAGGTGATTTGTCGCTGCAAGGATGCCAGGGACTGGGCTGAGTCTTCTATAGCCTGGTTGAGGTCTGCTTGGAGCTTGTTGACCTCGACGATGGAGTGACCTAGGGCTCCTGCACTGAGGCCTACCGCCAGCAGGGAGGTAGCAATCGACATTCCTACCAGAGCGGGAATGAAGACTGCCCGTTTGGTTCTTTCAAGACTGTGGGGGTTTGAAGTTTCCTGTTTAGCTTCTGACCAAGAAAGCAGTGTTAGTTGGTGCACCTGCTAGAAAATAAATCACAGTTGACTGAAATAGAAGAAAATGAATTGAAAGAATTGGTGCTGGAAGCAAGACAATTACATTGAGCCATGTTTAGACATGGGGCAGGGGCTGGCCAGCAGAATGGAGATCCCAGACACCTTGCAATATATGAGGTTTCCCAGTGCGACACAGCTGTTTGGAATAATAACATTTGTTAAGAGGTGGGCTAGACATGTGCCCTTGACAGTGGCATGGGTTGCAATACACTAATGAGGCAAATCCAGCTGAAATGAAGAGGAAGTGGTTAGCTGTTGTCCAGAAGAGGAGTAAGAGAGGAGTGAGGTAGTCGGGTGAGTTGCTGGGTCAAAGAAGTGGCAGATAATTTATCCTTGGTACAAGCACTAAAATGTTTGAGGTGAGAAATGATACCAGGAAGTGTGATCAAGGAGTTTGGCAGCCACAGGCATGGTCAGGGTCACGAAGTGAGGCCTGGTCCACTGAGGTTGGAGTGAGCGTGGGTGGAGGGTCTTGAGGAGGACCAGGTCACCAGGCTAGAGAAGAGAGGCATTGGGGTCTGATGGTGTGGTAGCAGCCGGGTCTAGAAGATAGCAGTCGACGTGGTCTCAGAGAAGCTTTTGTGGGTGAACACATGGGTGAAATCGATCTGCCAATTCTCATCTGGTTCATGTCCTTGCAGCTGGTGAGTAGGCAAGCTGAGCTTAAGGGCTCCTTGAGGAAAAACAGTGGAAAACATTAGGCAGGAGGAGTTAGTGAATGAGGCATTGGTGATGGGCATCCCTTTGGTGGTAAGGGATTCCCTCTCCTGCCAGATGGCAGAATGGGGAGGCAATTGGCCTCTAGGATGGACTCAGGAATGAGTACCACATAGGCTGCATGGTGCAACCATGCAGGTTGGACACCGAGCTACCATCCACTAAAGAATGAGGTCAGGAGACTGTAGAGGCTGGTACAGCAAGCCTTCCCTAGGTAAGAAGTGAGAATCGAGGACCGGCTGGCAAGAGTGAGAGATTGGAAGTTGAGGAAAGTGTTAAGGGGAGAGGACGGTGGGAGAGGATGGTGGGTGAAGTTCTCAGGAAAGACTCATAGTTACATCTCATTGGTGCATAACCGGAACAACACACAAATTCCACAAGCTGTGGGAAAGGGGAAGCAGGAAGCAGTGTCAGGGTCCAGGTTGGGATGTTGGAATCACTCACATTTTTCCTTTCTGTTACATGTTGGGGAGGAATGGCAGGCTCTCAGCCCTGCAAAAGAACTGGTTAATGATTTGGTTAGAAGAAATTTATACATTTGAGTGGATGACACAGGAATGGAGGGAGGGGTTACTTATCAAAATGATGGATTGATTTCCTCCTGAAGCTCACTGGAATATGTAGTCTCTGAGGGTTGGTCTTGAGGAGCTTCTTTGGGGTGCCTCTATGGTGACACACGGATCATCTTGGCAGGTGTTGACCTTCTGTGCAGATTCCACATTCTGGCCATTCTTGGATGGAGAGTCCATTTGACTTAGGCAGAGAACTGGGAACACTTTTACTCAGCCCCGATATCGCGGCTTTATGTTGTGTGGAATTAGTGGGGAAGCTTAGGCAGGAACATGCATGACAGCTGATTAAAATTATCTAGTGAGACCTTGAGAAACAAGACAGGATGTATAGTCTGGCCTGCTTCTAATCTTGTATTCTTTCCCTCCCTCTGCTCATGGGGACTCTGGCTGCTAGCAGGAGCTAAGTCAGGGCCTATGGTAAGGCCAGGGCTCCAGTAGGCAGTGGCCTTCAAGGTTACAGTGTTAGCTAGTAAAAACCGTTTCTAAGGTCTTACATACACGAACTCTGGAGTTTCAGGTAAGGTCAGGACCATCCATCTCTTCACATAGAGTACTGGAAGAGACATCATAAAGGAAGTGTGAAACTGTGGAGACATCCCATTGACTCCCATTACCTGGCTGGACAGAGAGGAGAGCTGGCCTGAAAGAGAGGTTGGTACAGAACAGATGGTGTCTCTGGACAGAATATACAGCTTTACCTGTGATGTTGCTGACCCCAGGCCATCCCTCCATAGCGACAGATGCTTTGGGAGCTGGGCAGAGTGAAGGGCTTTCTAGCTTGTGGCCCACCATGGTTCTGACCCAGGAATACTTTGACCCCCAGGGCAGTCCCATTTCTAGTGGCCTGGCTCTTGGCAGAGCTAACAAGACTCTTTGAAAGCCACTTCTATCACTGCAGCTGGCTGCCCAATATTCTGGCTTCCCATATCACAAGCAGGTGCTACTTGAGGGTAGACTAGCCTTACTGGGTCTCCTAGAGAACAGGTTACTGTATAAAGCCACATTAATGAGCCTCCTGATGCCTAGCTCACTACTCTTCCTCTGGGCCCTGGTTAAAGTGGGCCACAGAGGCAACCACGGGATGTCAGCCAAAGGGATGCTCAATTCTATCCCTGAATGCCTTAATGGGCTGATCTAGGAATCTGTAGTTACAGGCATAGTCCTGATAGTTTTAGGGTAATGCCTATGAGAAGATAATTAGGCTGCTTGGTCTGACAAGTTAGCCATCCCTTTAAAGGGTCTGGAAATCCAACTGTGCAGCCTGAGTCCCTCAGTGAGAGAGAGAGAGAGAGAGAGAGAGAGATGAAGAAAGTAGTTGGAAGCATCAGATTAATTACCATCAAGTAAAAACTCTCAAATAGAAGTTCTAGAAAGCATTTGCCAAAAGTCTGATGTCGGCTACAAATTTGAAACAAGCACAGGTTTATAATTAGCTTAAATTGCACATTAGAAAAAGCAATAATGTCAGTGATAAATATTTAGAAAAATGCTATAGGCAATTTTAAGGACAATGATAAATTACATTGCACATAAACCATACAAGATGTATTCCTCTCAAAACTTTCATGACTTCCCATTCCTTCTACGCCATGCTTTAACTTGGAAATACTCTATAAAACAATTGGTAAGAGCACGTGAGTTTACCTCATGGCTTGGAATAACTTAGCAGTGGATTAGAGCAACTCTATACTGGATTATTTTGATATACAAATTTTAAATTAAGTTTCGGAACAACTTAGCAAATTACAGTTTTGTTCTTTTGATAGATGTTAATTAGCTTATCTTTTATCCCACCCATCTTAGATAAGGGGTGGGGGTGGGGATGACGAAAGGAAAAAGAGTTAAAAGCAGTTGCTGCAGCAGCAGCAGGGAATCAGGCATTATTGGGGTTAAGTCAGAAGAACCAAAGAGGGAGAGCAGGTTAGGTTGGGGGTGAGAATGGAGAAAGGCAAGATGGCAGACAGGGACCTGCCACATGAAGGAAGGCAAGATGGTGGACAGGGTCCCATCAGGTGGAGGAGAAAGGCAAGATGGTGGATGGGATCCTACCACATGGAGTGGGAGGGGAGCTGGGAAGATGGCGTCAGAACAGGAAGTGGAGAGAGGGGGCTTGGGAACATGGTACCTGCGCAGGAAGTGAAGGATCCGAAGGAAGAAGGTTCTGAGTGGGGGAGAACGAACTGGGGAAAGGCGAGTTGGGGAAAATGTGAGGTAGAGGTCAGAGAGGTCCTTGGGCAAGGATAGGGACCCTCTGTGCAGCAAGGATGTCCACACAGAGGGAAAAAGGAGGAACAAAGAGAATGATGGGGTTAGGTGGAATTAGGTGGGGCAAGATATGGGAGTAGATAGAATAAGGGAGGGGTGGGAACATAGCAGAGAAACAGAAGGTAAAGCAAAAGTGACACTGGAATCCAGTGGCTACTCAGTAAGTGAAGGAGTCTGGAAACATTACAGAAGGACTGGGGGCGTAGAAGAGGTGACCAAAGAGGAGGTGACCTTGGGGAACATGGCACAGGGACTGGAGGAGTAACGTACAAGGTGGATGGGCCAAAGGCTCCGAGAGAGACGAAAGTGCAGGTAAAGAGGCTGGCAGAGAAGGAGATGGGGAAGAAGTGGGGGCTGGGTGGAGTCCTAAAAGTTCTGGCGGCTCAGAAAAGGTATGGTTAGGTGAAAAGTCTAAGAGATCCTTGGGAGAGTGGGAGGGCTTAGCCTTGGCCTGGAGAATCTGAGTCGTGGAACAGGAGGAACATAGGGAAGGGCAGGAACGGAGTCTCCAAAAAGCTTCCACATAACAAACTTAAGACCATTTACCCTCGCGAGGACAGAAATTACCAAATTCCGTGAGGATCTGAAAATCAAACGTGCCTTCCGCTGGCCATTTGGAGCCTTTTCCAACACGTACTGTGGCCAGGCCACGGTTGAAAAATGGACAAGGCATTTTCTGCGTAAGTCCAGGCCCAGACCCATGGTTTTAAAATTGGCCAATAAACAGCTTAAGGGGGTTTGGGGGCCATGAGCTCAGGACATTTTGTTGCCCATCCTGTCCCAATAAAGTATCTCACGGCTAATCTAAACACAAAGAAGGCGTCCCCGCTTTGAAATTTAGACTAGAGGGGAACCTGGTTCTCCGTTAAGGAGGGCCAGTCAGTAGGGGGGACGTCTCCCACCCCACTGAGGGCCCTGGATAGGTGGGAGCCGGTCAACGACCAGGGCGTCCCCCGTCTCGCTGAGGGCTCAGGACAGGCAGACCACGTGTACACGGTTTGGGGGGTCTGCAGGAGGTTGGGGGAGTACTTTTTGGGACAGGAGGAGCAGGGCGGAGGGGCTTACCTCACGTCTGTCGTTCCGCAGCCGGCAAAGGCCTTGGGGCTGGCGGCTTAGAGGTGGAGAGAGGAAGGGGGGAGCTCAACCAGTTTAGGGAGCCCACGCATCCCTTCCCGGGTTTCCGGCACCAAATGTTAGATAATGTCCACCGACCGACCGCCCGCTTGGTGAAATAATATCGGCAAGTTGTTCAGAGTTGAGATGGAAGCTTTATTGGAAAAATCCGCTCCTGAGCCACCTTCGCGCAGAGAGGAAGGAAGAGGGAAGCGAAAGGGCCTCTCAGACACGTGTCTGGGAGTTTTATACCCATCTACACACGTGGGAGGGCAAGGAGGTTGTCCGTGTCCCAACTATGCAAGGAATGTCCATTCAGGTGTGCCATTGGTCAACTGGAATCCCGCCAGGTAGGTGACGTAACCGGCTCCTGTGGCCCCTCCTCCTGTGGGGGCGGGGCAGACCTGCCCCTAGCCTCCAGTGCCCTGGGGAGCCATCAATAATGTTATCATTTAAGATGTGGTTCTTGAGATCCTTAGTGTCTCATGCCTTTTGCTAGGAGCTGCCATCACGAAGGAGGGACGGCTCTGTTATGGAAGCTGGCCATCCGAGACCCATGAGCCTGCAGGGCTGATTCATCCGAGGCTGACTCTGAGGTGAGAAGAATCTGTACCATGAATGTCATGTCATTTTGGGTAGATTCCCAGCAACACGTGGTGTTCTCTGGCCTGTAGAGCTAGGAGCTGTGTGTAGGGTGTTGTTCATGTGTCTTGTCCGTTTCCAAGGTTCCTCTTCGTGCAAGAAGGATGTCATTCATACTGGAACCACGTTTGCCCTGTGATCCCATTTTAACTAATTCAATCCGCAACGACCTTTCAGACTTCAGCAGGTGAATATTTTGAGGGGAGCATGATTTAACCTAGAGATAAACCCCCCTTGAGATTGTTGGAACGGTGGATATGATGTTACCTGAAGGAAGCATGTGCATATATAATTAAGGATCTTGAGACGATGTCTTAGATTACCCAGTGTGGTCTACGTCGAGTGGGCTGATACCTCTGTTATAGAAACGGAATGGCAGAAGGAAATAGGAGGAGGCGGTGTGAGGGCGAGGCAGTCAGGTAAGACTAGCAGTGTCAGCAGCCATGAGGATCTGGAGGTGGCAGGTGCGAGTGCTCCCGTGGAGCCCCTGGGAAAGCCCTCACTGGAGCTTCCCCGAGCCTGCTCACCTCCAGAACCACAGAAGTGTGTCTTTGTTGTTGAAGCCACCTGCATGGGAAAACCAAAAGACATTCATCCAGGTTACGTTCTGGGGTGGATTTATTGTTTTATTTATTTATTTATTTATTTTTGTCTTGAGAGATTGGTAGGACTCAAGACCATGTCAAATGGGTGTCTTCATAAAGTGTTCCTAAAATTCTCATCAACTTCTGAAGAGATGGCCAAAGGACATGACCAAAAAAAAAAAAAAATCATCATCTTGCAAACCCAATTCTCAGGCCCAAATACAGTTAATATAATAATGATACCAGCATCTGAACTTGTACAACCGGTTCTGTTCTGAATTCTATCACAGTGTGATGCCGTGCGACTCGCATGCGTTTGAATTCAGCCTCAACTAGAAGGAAACACTGCTGCTGATTGCTGAAATTCCGATATTTGTTACAATAACGGACCACTGCTCTCGGGCTCACAGTTCACCTCAACCACAGAAGACAAGCCTTCCTTTGAAAAACCTGCCAGGAAGCTCTCACTTCATATGTGACATACCTACAAAATGTGCCACAACCTAGAAAATCGGAAGTTGTGAATAAATCTAGTGTCCAGAACACTGTGTTTTCCCAGTGCTATCGGATTAGACAAGTACTTTATCCATCAACGGGCAGTATCATGGAAATGCAGCTCTGATTTTGACTTAGAGAAGGATCCTAAAGATACAGTGGTTTTAGTATTGCAAAGCTGGTTGCTTGAACCACCTACCTCACTTTATCTGAGTGTAGGGACAGGTCTGTTTGTCTCACTTAAGGCCTCTGTGTTAGTTTTTTGTTGCTGCATGAAAAGCATTGAAGAAAAAAAATACCCATTCATTATCGGAAGCTCCCCAGGTCAGCTGTCCAGGAGTGAGCAGTCACAGGATCAGCATAGATGTGACCTTATGTATGAACTGATCTGCTTGGGGAGCATTGAGATCCTTGTAGCTCTAGGACTGGGGTCCTTGACTCCTTGGTGGCTTTCATGAGAGGATTCATCCAGCTCCCAGTGGTCATTCTCAGGTCTTCATCAAGTGCCTTCATGTGACTCATTTCTTTAAAACCAACAGAAAGAATTCCCTTTTTCTCTCTTCAAATCTCTCACCATTTTTAAGGGATGGTACTCAGAGAAGGCACAGCTAAGATCACCTCCCTTTGGATGAGCTCAAAATCAACCCATTTGGAGCTCTCAGTTTCATCATAGAAGATACAGTCAGAACAGCGAAACCCATCGTATTTGCAGGCCCACCGTGTTCAAGGAGGAGGGAAACACAGGGTACGTGAACCAGAGGGCAACCATTTAAAGGTCCTGTGGAATCCCCGCGAATGTCACCTTCCACTGGATGGACAATGGCCCAATTGGAAGTAGAGCCAAAAAAAAAAAAACCACTTCATGCTTTATTTAGGAGTTGTTTGCTATTACAAAGGGAAAATCATTTTTCATTATCTGGCCATGTTTTGGAGGCAACTAGTTAAGGGTTTGTTCACACTCCAGAGGTGTCTTTACCAGTCACACGGTGTGTTTACTGGGCCTGGGGGCTGTTTAACAGTGAAGAGTAAACCCTGGTTTTCTGATTTCAAGTGTGGTACACTCTGCACTGAGGTTTCCTTAAGCCTGAGCTCATGAACACCAGGAGTGTTCTGTGAATGGGCTGGAAGAGATCCAGAGAATTCAGGCTGAGGCTACAGTGTGGCTACAGCTGAGCTAGCTAATGCAGATGCACGAAGGAGTAAATTAAAGCTGTCTTGTTAAATTGCACTAGTCTGAAGAGGTTTATTTGGTGAGGAAAGCAACATGTTAAAAAGCATGCGTAATAAAATTTTGTTTCTACAAAACCATGGTCCAATTGCTTTGTCAAAAGTTTGTGTCTCTAAATAGACATCTAGATGTTTGAGAATAAAAGGAAAAACTTGGAATCTATGTATGGGTAATGAAGATGTTACTCATATGGGAGAAGCATGCAGCTAGTTTAGGATCTGCTGAGCTAGAGGGACTGTGCACTCTGTTCTCAGCCCCTCTCTGTGTAATTCTGTTCTCCTTATCAATTGATATGTTCCCTTTCCTGGAATTCATTCACTTCATCCAGGACCTTGGGGAAGATGTCAGGAAGATATGTATGTTTAGTCTCCCACCCCACCCCACCCCCAAGTTTATGGAGGCATCATAAAATTCCCAGATGCCTTTGTGCCTGCAGGAGTGATTTCCCCTCCCCCTAACCTCTAATCCAATAGCTGGAGTTCATTCCTCACTGGAGACCGTGACAGGACGAGGTGCTAGCGTGTTCTCTCGCTGCGTCGTCTCCTCCACCTCCTCTGTTCTCTTGGCCCACCACCTACTCCGTATGACCATCTTTGCGAGGGGCAATCCATGCTTGTGTGTGTGTGTATGTTGGCTTTGTCACCTTTTAGGTAAAACTTTATCACTCGATGCATCTTATTTGTGCTGAACTTAGAATGTTTCCCTAGGTGCAAGATGAAAGCCTGAAAAAAAGTTAATAATCCTGTCCTCTCCCTCATTACCTGGGTGGGGGGGAGGGCACTTATTAATGCAGGCGGGGGAAGTGGAAGAGGGTAATAGCACACAAGATGGGCGAATGGGAGGTTGAAATGTAAACCAGCGTATCATATGGTCATGTCTACACATCTTTGCAAAGTTATCTTTAAAATAGTTTAATTATGAAAGAATGCTGGAAATGACCACTTCCTCCTAACAACGACCCTGCAGCGGAACACAATGAATCCTTAGTGCGCTTGGATTTATGGGGGAGGTGATGCGGGGAGATGATGTGGGGAGGTGATGTTGCGAGCCGAGCTGCTGCCCTGAAAATTGGAGAAAGACAAGGTGTGCCTGCCTACCAGAGCAGAAACCTCCAGAGGCAACATCAGTCTAAACTATGAATTTCCAGAGGCTCAACGTTGGCACCTCTGAGATGTAAGGATCCCGGAATGACTCAATTGTACTCAGAACAAAAGGAAAAACATGAAATGACTTCAGCTGTTTGTGGCTTCTTCTCCAGGAGCTCCACCAGGTTCCTTATGAGCATCAGGCAGAGCCCTTCATATTTCCGGTAGGAAGAAAAGGAACCGTTGTGAGCTATCAGAACATCCTATCTTTTCTTAACCATGTCTGCCTTCGAGAGAAATTGTTTTCCTACAGCTTCACCCGCTGGAGTTTCATCAGAGCATGTCTGTCCCTTGCGAAGAGAAGTGAAATGGGGACTCACTGGAAAAGGTCACAGTCCTGGAGCACAGGCCCTCCGGGTCTGTGGAATGATTTCCCTTGCCTTAGTCTAAAAGACCCACAACCACCAAGCAAGCAAGCAACTCCACAAACAAACTGAACAGGCTTCAAAGCAGCATGGGAAATGGCAACAATGCTTAAATTATCTGGTCAGACAATTTTAAAAAAATTAGAAGTGTTGAAGGGCTTTCATGGGAACAATCTCAAACAGATGATTTAAGCAGACAAATGAAAAGTCTAAGGAAGAATCCAGAAGAAATGTTAGAGACAATACTGTAACAAAAACAAAGAAAGCCTTAGGTAGACTCCTTAGTAGACTTGGCATGGCTGAGGGAAGAGTCTTGGAGCTCTCCTACAAACAAGAGGAAAAAAGGTTTCTCAGACAGAGATTGAGAGTCTTTGCCAGGAGACTTTAATTAAATATTAAAATCAGTTCTTCAGAGAGAAGGAAAATAGAACTGCATAAAGGAAGGTAGATTATCAAAAACTGAAGGCCAAATAGAAACTTGCTCTTTTTTAGTTAACTGATCTAAGAGATGCAATCACATAAAGTTATGGTAGCATGAGGCGATTGGTGTTCGTGAAAGTGTCTGTATACTTGTGATTGTGATTGTGTGTGTGTGTGTTTGTGTGTGTGTGTGTGTGTGAAATCATTGATGGCATTAACTTGAGGGATAGGAAGGAAGCTTTATAAGTAGTGTGTTATGGGAAAATATCAACACCATCTGTGAAGTATCACAGTATTACTCCAAATCTACTTAGTTTGTATTTTGTGAACTTCAGAGCAGTCACAAAGTTTTGAAATAAAGCATACTAATAGGGAAAGCTCAGTACATTTTTGCTATTCTCACACATTCAGCGCAACATTTCTGATGCCACACGTGTGAGTTCTGTTTCTGTATAGACCATGCAGTCCTGCAACAGGCATCAAGTGAGTGTTCTGCAATGCAATGCGCTGAATTCTGACACAGCGCACCTGGAGTGGAAGTCAGATCTCATAGGTTAACAGTTCGGTCCCACAAGAATGCCCCTGCATCGGATGCCAGCTGTAAGTAGTGGCTTGTTATCCACACTTCTCGCTGGCCACTGGAAAGTTTGATTAATTTGTCAGAGCAGCTCGGAGAGCCCAAGGCAACACCTCACTTACACTTACAGGTTGAATGTT